AAAAAAAAAAAAAAAAAAGAAAAGAAATTCTACACTCAGGCTGAAACAACAGCCTTTTCTGACCTGACCACCCAGGTAAAAGGTGACCAACATGATATTTACACATCCACTCATATAGATAGATGAATTTTACCAAATGTGATGGTATATGTTTAATAAACCATTTAGAAAGATATTTAGAAGAAATTAAACTAAAAAATATTTGAATTACAAAAGTAAAATTTGCTTATTTGTTCAAAAAAAATGTGCATTTGTATATATTACTCAAAACTCAGTGGCTAATAACACTAAGCACTTATTTTCCTATTCATAGGTGTTCATGATAGCAATTATCTGGTTGATCGAGGAAGGGCTTAGCAGGGTGTTTCTGCTGCAGGGCGCTGAGCTTGTCTCCAGCCTTTGGATTGTATTTGATCTGGGGACAAAGTAGAGCCTATCCAAGGTACATTTATATGGCAGGCAGCAGAAGTCAACAAAATTTTCAAGCAAAGCTGAACAGGCAATTGTACATCTAATGATCAGCAACACAGGTGCACACAATTCTAATTTATTTTTTCACTTTGTTAATTCCTAAAGTTTCTAAAAATGTTTACTGTATTTAACTATAAAGTTATTTGCATCAATGATGGAGAAACAATTATGTTTTCCAAGTTTTACAATATTAAAAATGTTTTCAAATGTTTGCATTGGTTAGAGATAATGCTGGATATTTGTTGTTGGTGGTGTTGTTGTCTGAGATGGAGTCTTACCCTGTCACCCAAGCTCAAGTGCACTGGTGTGATCTCAGCTAACTGCAACCTCTGCCTCCCAAGTTCAAGTGATTCTTGTGCTTCAGCCTCCTGAGTAGCTGGGATTGTGGGCATGCACCACCATGCCCAGCTAATTTTTGTATATTTAGTAGAGAAGTGGTTTCCCCATGTTGGCCAGGCTAGTATGGAACTCCTGGCCTCTAGTGTTCTGCCCGCCTCGACCTCCCAGAGTGCTAGGATTACAGACATGAGACACTATACCGGGCCTCGATGTGTTTTTAACACGTGGCTTTAATGTAAATGGTCTTATTGTGGAAAAACACATTTAAACTAAATGTCTTCTAAAACATAGCTTTTAAAAATTCCTGTAGATTACTTGTATGCTTTTTAAAACATAGACCATTATGCAATATGTCTAAGATGCATCTGCTACTTTGCATTTGTAACATGCTCACAGTGATGCTGATGATAAAGTTAGAGAAGACAGAAAATGGTGCTGTCCATGCAGGCAGGTGACATTTCCTTGAGTAATCTTCTTATGGACACACCACTTGCTTCTGTACAACACTCTCATCAACCCAAAGTCAGGCTCTCTTCTCATCAAAAGTTTTGAGAACCTTTATTCCCACTGCTGAACCTCATGTCTGGCTGGCAACTGGACACATTTTGAGTAGCAAAGTGCTTTCATGCCAAGGAAACAATATATCATACGCATGTATAGGTGTTGTTTGTTTTGCAAGAAAAGTTGTTTCATTTGTCAAATAATTTCTATGTATCTAAGCAAGTTTCTCATTTTTCTGTTTATTTTATGACTGAATGAAGTGTTCTTGTAATGATCTCAGACTTGCTAATAATATGTGAAAGCACAAACAAATGTATCCTGAAGCCAACCCATAACTGGAAAATTCAAAGACGGGAAAATATTGACCTCACTTGGCTGTCAGCTCCTAATTCTCCATATTCAACTATCATTTCTAAAAGCACACTTCCCAAAACCCTTTTGTCTCTCTATGGTTTCTTTTTTTTTTTTTTTTTTTTTTTTTTTTTTATTGCCTTTTAGTTACTCAAAGAGGAGCCTACCCATTACATTTTAAAGTAAGAAGGCAGTGATTCAACACTGACACCTGCAGGCAGGCATGCAGACTGAGGTGAAGACTGGAGAATCACCTGGAGAGGTGCCACATCAACTGACAGCAACAGCACCCTTATATCTGAACTTCCTAGATGGAGGAGAAGACCACATGGTTAGATAGCCCATGAGTTTAGGAGCAAATGAGCTCTGGCTTCTGGCAGACCAACAGAGATTTCCCTGTTTCTAGTATCAGCTTCCTGACTACCATATCTCCTGGCATGTATTAGCAAATTTAATTCCATCAAGATGGTCATTATTAAAGAGACAAAACAAAACAAAACAGATGCTAATGAGACTGCAGAGAAAAGCCAATGCTTATACATTCCCTTTTGGGTGGAGTATAAATTAGTTCAGCCACTGTGGAAAACAATTTGGCAATTTCTCAAAGAACTTAAATCAGAACTATCATTCAACTTTATATACAAAACATCCTTTTGTATATATAGCAAAAGGAATATAAATCATTAGATCATAAAGACATATGTACATGTATGCTCATTGCAGCACTATTCACAATACCAAAGACATAGAATCAGCCTAAGTGCCCATCAATGGTAGACTGTATAAAGAAAATGTGACACAGACATACCATGGAATATTATGCAGCCATTAAAAATAATGATATAATGTCTTTTACAGCAACATGGATGGAGCTGGAGACCATTATCCTAAATGAACTAATGAAGGAACAGAAAATCACATCACCTGTGTTCTCACTTATAAGTGGGAACAAAACATTGAATACATATGAACACAAAAAAGGGACAAATAAACACCAGAGCCTACTTGAGGGTGGAGGGTGAGAGGAGACGAAGGATAAAAAAAAATGACCTATTAGGTGCTATACTTATTACCTGAGTGATAGAACAATATGTACACCAAACCCCCACAATATGCAATTTATCTATAGAACCAACCCACCCATGTACCCCTGAAACTAAAATAAATTATAATTATATGAAAGTTAAAAAATAAAATAAAACAATTTCTTCTTGAAATTGGTAGTTTCTTTTGAGTAGTTTCTCTTGTGATGTATGACCTAGACAGATGCAATAACTGAAATTCCTCAGGTATCATAATTGCTGTTATTTATTAAATCACCAAGACAGTGTCATGCCTGTGCTGCTGGGGCTGAGGAAGAAAAAATAGAGTTAGAATGCAGAGGAGCCTTCCTAAACCTCCAAATCCTGGCTTAATTAAAAAAAGGACGTCAGCAGAGAAAGGCACCATAAGGAGCAGCTGGGGCAGCCGAGCATCACACTTCTGTTTCCCTTGGTGGTTTATGTTATGACTTGTAACACTGTGGGAGGGAGCTTATCATACTGTTGACAGTAATATGTTGCGATATCTTCAGGCTGCAGACTGCTGATGGTGAGAGTAAAATCTGTCCCAGAGCCACTTCCACTGAACCTTGATGGGACCCCGCTTTGCAAACTGGATGCATAATAGATCAGGAGCTTAGGGGCTTTCCCTGGTTTCTGCTGATACCAGGCTAAATAACTGCTAATACCCTGACTTGCCCGGCAAGTGATGGTGACTTTGTCTCCTACAGATGCAGACAGGGAGGATGGAGTCTGGGTCATCTGGATGTCGCATCTGGCACCTGAGAATGGAAACATAAATACAAATATTCATACTATTAACCATGTTATAGGAAGACTTCCCTGAAAAGCCAGGCTACACTGAGCACACAGGGCTGAGTAAATTCCCAGTGTTCTTCTTCCTTACATGGGAGCCAGAGCAGCAGGAGCCCCAGGAGCTGAGCGGGGACCCTCATGTCCATGCTGTGTCCTGACTGGGCCTGACTCCTGCACAGGGTGTGACCGGACTATTAAGAAGTCTTCAGGGCTGAGGGCTGTGCTCTGGGAATATGCAAATCAGCAGCGGATGGGGCGGGCTGGGCACAGCTGCAGGGCTCCTTCATCTCAGTAACTCAACTCAGGGGCAGTGTCCCCAGGGTCCCGGGTCAGACCAGGGCAGCACAGACTTGTGTGGAGGGAAACTATTTCTCTCTAGAGGCCCTATAGTTACAAAAGAGATTTTTGAGGCAATTGCCAAAATTTAAAATGAATATAAGGTCTAGATTAAATAATGTATTTTTTATTGTATTGGAAGTATGTAGGAAAGTGTCATTGTTTGTAGGGAATGCATAATAAAGTCTTAGAGGGTGGCAGTATCAGGTTTTCACATTACTCCTAACTAGATTCAGTAGATATAAAAATCCTCTGTGCTGTAGTAACATTTCTGTCCATGTGAAATTGCTTTTTTTTTCAAAATGAAAAGAAAGATTTTATCAGTAGCACTTTAGTAAATTGTACTTTTCATTATACTAAAGTGCTACTGATATAATCTTATGTGGGTACCAGCATAATGTCAAGCAATTCACTTTCAGTGCACAAAGATGATACCATGATTCCTAAATGCAAGCATCACTCACAGAGGCCAATATCCAAAGCTATAGATCTCTTTAATATTTAGGGACTAAATGCACTGTACTTTACACTTTGGGAGGCTGAGGAGGGTGAATCACCTGATGTCAGAAGTTCGAGACCAGCCTGGGCAACGTGGTGAAACCCCATCTTTACTAAAATACAAAAATTAGCTAGGTGTGGTGATGCATGCCGATAATTCCAGCTGCTTGGGAGGCTGAGGCACAAGATTTGCTTGAACCCAGGAGGCATAGGTGGCAGTGAGCCGAGATTGGGCCACTGCACTCCAGCCTGGGTGACAGATGAAGACTGCATCCCAACAACAACAATAATAATGATAATTCAAGAAAATTTTCCTAATCTTGCTAGAGAGGTAGCTATCCAGATATAAGAAATTCCAAGACCTGCCAGTTACTATACAAAATGAATATCACCAAGGCATATAGTCACGAGACTGTTCAAGGTCAATGCTAATGAAAAAAATCTTAAAGGCACCTAGAGAAAAAGGTAGGGTCACAATTGCAACTTAAAAATAAAAAATAAAAAGACAAATGGGACCTAATTAAACTAAAGAGCTGCTTCTGCACAGCAAAATAATAATAATAATAATAATAACAGAAAAAAAGAAAAAAGAAAAAAAGAACCTATCAGCAGAGTAAACAAAGTGAAAAAGAAATATTTAAAAACTACACATCCTGCAAAAATCTATTAGCTAGACTCTTTAAAAAAACTTGAACAATAACAAGCAAAAAATAAGCCCTTTAAAAAGTGGGCAAAGAAAATGAACAGATACTTTTCAAAAAACAGACAAGCAGCCAACAAACATATCAAAAAGTGCTCAGCATCACTAATCATTAGAGAAATGTCAATCAAAACCACTATGAGATACTGTCTCACATCAGTAAGAATGGCTATGACTATAAAGTCAAAAAACAAACAAACAAACAAAAAACAGATGCTGGCAAGGTTGTGGAGAAAAAGGAACACGTATAGACTGTTGGTATAAATGTAAATTAGTTCAGCCACTGTGGAAGTCAGTTTGGATACTTCTCAAATAACTTAAAACAGAATTATCATTCAATCCAGTAATCCTATTACAAGGTATATACTCCCCCACAAAAAACAAATTCTTCTATCAAAAAGACACATGCACTTGTAGGTTTATTGCAGTACTATTCATAATAGCAAAGACATGGAATGGACCTAGATGCCCATAAATTGTGGCGTGGATAAACAATACAGTATGTATATACCATGGATTACTACACAGTCATAACAATAATGAAATATATCCTTTGTAGCAACATGGATACAGTTGGAGGCCATTCTCTAAAGTGAAGTAATACAGGAAATACTGCATGTTCTCACTTACAAGTAGAGTGAAACACTGAGGACATACAGAGATGGGAGCAACAGACATTGGGGAATACTACAGGAGGAGGGAGGGAAGGATCGGGTAAGTATTACTACTTGTTGTCTACTGTGCTTACTTCCTGGGTGAAGGGATAATTTTCATCCCAAATCTTAGCATCATGCAATATACCCACATAACAAAGCTGCACAGGTACTCTCTGACACCTAAAATAAAAGTGTAATTTTTTTTTTTTAAAAAAAAGCAATTTGTTGACAGTACTGTGTATGTTTAAAATTAAAGGAAATTGTTCTCATTTTTCTAAAGAGATTTTTCATTAACTCAAAGTACAACAAAGTAATATTATTTCTTCTAGAGTCTCTTTATGTTTTGCATGTCCCCTTTCTTGCATTGCCATAGAGACCTAAATAAAATAAAATAAAATAAAAAAGTAAAAGGACCAGTTGAAGAATCTATCTCTGGCTGAAAGGAACTTCACTTCTCCATTGGAAAACAGGACTGTCTCAAACTTGCCTATTGCATCTGGAGAAAATACTACAGAGAAGCATTCACTGAAAGGCTTCCTTCTTTGGATCCTGGGAAGAATCCAGAGATCTGAGAGCTATCTGAAAGGAGAAACTGGTGATTCTGAGCTTTACATCCAAATGGTTTGATTACAAAATTGGATCACTACCTAGAATGGCTGGTGCTCTTTCGTGGTGTCAGAAATCCTCTCAGTACAGGAAAGAAGGAAATATCCCACAGGTAGTCCTGCTGGTTGGTAAGGACTGGGAAGATGCCCCTTTTCTGAGCCCCCTGGCTCTGGCCCAGGGCTGTGTTCCTGATGTGGAACACAGGGTAGTGAGGACAACCAGGTTGAGTTGGTTCAGGTGTGCATGTGTTGAAAGAGACAAGTCTTGAGCCCTCAAAAGCTCTTGAACAAGCAGTTCTTCCTCCTGGACAGTGGGACCTAATTAAACTAAAAATCCAGAGCTCAGCTTGATTCTAGTTTGGTGGCCTCACAGGCCAAAGTCATTTTGAGTGGAAAGAGGAATTCTGCCCATTTCTGGAGTGACAATGGCACCCACAAGCACTCAACATTTTCAGGCTGCATTCAAGTATCTCCAGTGTCCATTTTGAGGACAAAAAGATATCACTAACCTGGCCTGCATGACCCTCTTATGGGATGGCTCTAGCTGCTATAAAAATGTCAGAGATTAAGGGAGGGCCATGTTCAAATGTCTGGTCTCAGTGGAGCCTCTTTACTTTGGGTCTGGGAGCTATTTCCAGAACAAACAAGATATAAACACACTAAAGAATTAACAGAGCATATCATTTTACCTTTAGCCAAGTGGACTCCTTAGGGCTTCAAAATATTGCTACCTACAGGCCTCCCAAGTTTTAAAATTGATGTACCTCATCAGATATTTTTGACAAATTAATTTTAATCTAAATTAAGCAAATGCTTTTTTGTATTATAATTATTGACATTTAAAAAAATGAAACTCATGCATCAATCCTGAATATATCAAAGATTCTAAATTTTTAATATCTTGATACAGTTATTATTTATGAAAAATAAATATATGAACAAGCAAAACAAAAACACCAAGAAGGAGGGGAAACTTGCAACACCACTTTGGTATTGAGAAGTATACAAACCCCAGACACTGTGTCTTCTCCAAATGTTGTATCTGTTGTGGCTGTTTCTTAACCACGATTCTGTTTTTACTACCTTGGAGGAGGAAAGAATTAAGAAGCACAAGGGGCTGTTTTATGCTTAGGACATTAAAAGAGAAATGGAGATGGGGCAGAATTTGTCAACTCTTCCAAGTCCTTTGGGTTTCTCTAGCCATGGACACAGCAGAATCAAGATGTCAGGGAAGCCCATTGCTTATTGTGGCTCCTGCCTTTCATGCCTCAGACTCCCACAAACACACACACACATACGATAGTACGTTTCTTTTCCTAAAGATGAAGTCTACGGCCAATCCAGGCTCTTTCCCTTAAGTATCCTTTCTGGATAAATTAAAATAATTTTAGAAGAAATTCAAAGAAATTACAGCAACGGCTTAAGCAAAGATAAGATATCCAAAAGTTGGAGCTTTCAGCATTGATGTATCCAAGTTCTTTCCGCATTTCTAGTTCGTACTTTTATCACTTTAGATTTTCAGTCTTGGGCTTAATATCTCATGATCTCAAAATGGCTGCAGTGACGCTAAGACTTATGTCCATTCCTATCTGTTGCAGGGAAAAAAATGCTCTTCAACTTACTCCCTTTATGAGATGTCGTAATCTAAGAAGCCCTGCCCACTCTTTACTCTCCTTAAATCTCATTGTGGAGGTGATCCCATGTGCCCTTAATCCCTGGTCTTGTCCTATGATGGGAGAAACTCACTGTCCTTTTCTTACACAACAGAACAGAGCTGGTGTCCTACACATCAAAGGAGAAGGAAATGCTGCTATGCAAGGGCCAGTGACTTTGCCACATTTAAATTTCACTATGTGTCTAACTTAAATTATAAGGGGAGGAGAGACCACAAGGGCTTTTATACCTGGTGGGGGTTGGAACAAGCCAGGCTCTGAGGATGACAAGAAAATCAGATTTCTCATCTTCCAGATGACAATGTTATATTTCACAGTTGTGGAAATGTGTCCTGTGCATTTAGGGCCAGGGACGGCATTCAGGTACAGAAATCAGAGAAAAGAGATTTAGAATAGTGTCCTCAAGCCAGGACTAAGGTCAAGCTTGCATTGCCCAAGAGCTGCCTGGTTCTGGTCCTGGGCTATGAAAGAAGCAGCTGCTCTCCTGGACCATGGGGCTGAAGACCCAGGAAGAACCACAGGCCCTGCTCAAAGGTCTGCCTGCAGGGGCTTCATGGAAGAAAAATGCTCACACATCTACAGATACTGCACAAGGCCCAGAGCCCACAGCCACAGTAAAAGTCTCAAAGACCAGGGCCTTAAGGCTAAGCTTGGGCTCCCAGGGCCAATTATGCTCATCTCTGTCCTCATAGGTCCTGATTGGCAGAGG